GATAACTGCTAAATGCATTGTCACATTTTTCCAGCCTTCCAATAATGGCATATTGAAGAGTCAAAACATGCATACATTGCCTTTTTTGTGTGTAAAGCAAACTTTGCGGTGATGGTTATAATCATAATGCAAAGCGTAGAAAATACTGCCGTCATATGCAATCCCACTTCTCATTTTCCATTTATTTCTGTGGGGTTTGTATGAGGCTCCCATAGACCACAATGGTGCTTAGATAATTGCACCTACTAGAATTCAACAGGGAAAACTGAACCAACCAAAATAATTACTGCTAGACCACTGTGAGGTTTTGAAATTAAAGACTATGATGCTTAAACAAGAGTTTTCAACAACTGTACCACTACACTGCGTCTTCATGCTTTGATTAGAAATGCCTCAGAAGTAAAATATTACTCCAGTAAACGCTTTGTTTTCTTTTTTGGTCTTTTTTATTTAAAAAAATTGTAATCTGCTTACTTCTTACAGGCACACTTCTCTGGTTTTTCTTTGAATTGCTTTCACAAAATATTGCTTGTATTATCTTTGTAATCCTAGATTGACAAGAATAATACCATGATTTGCCTTTGGGGTGGGGGATGAAAAAGGATTTGTGAAATTATTTTAATAGAGCTAATTTGTTTTGTTTTTTTGCCTTTCACAAGCAATCGTTCTCTAATAAGATTGCATACCTTGTGCATCTGCATACAACCTGATCTTTTCTTAAAAGATGGCTTCCGGTTGCCATTATTAGAGGGGTTAAAAACAACAACCCTGTAATTAAGATACCTGTTCACAATTAATATAGTACCATGGATATGAAACACTTTAATTAAACATCACTTCTTTTCATACGGTTCTCTGCTTTTCATTGTAGTTCAGTTGACTTCAGTTATGCTGGTGACCTGCCTGTGAAGGTAGCAACATATTCTAAGACTGCTGATTAACACCGTGTTGTGGCATTGTGCTGCAACTTTATCAGTTGGGAGGGCTGGGGAGTGTGGCTTTCTGTGTTGTTCATGAAGGCCAAATAAGGCCAGTGGAGTTGTGAGTTCAGAATCCTGTGTTCCACTGGACTTCTACAAATTTGACCTGTTGTTTGCTTTGAATCAATAAGATTCAAATCTCAAATGAGTCCCTTCTGGCTAAAAGGGAAGCTGGTTTCTGTTCCTCAGAGTACATCCTTCCAAGTTCAGCCCCTTTATGCAGACTCCCGGAAGAAAGAGCCACATTTGCAATCTGTGTTCCTGAAAGTGCTGTGAACAAGAGGGAAGAATGGCTGAGTGACATAAAAAGGCCTAGAGCAAAATGAGTGTCTTACACAGGAAGGAGCAGTTGCCTGTATGAGGTTATTGTGTCCTCACTCAGGTAACTGACCTATTCTTCAAGGTGGCTCATTTTGCTCCAGCCATCTTCATCCCATTAACTTAACTCACTCTCTCGTGTTAATAGATTTTGTGATTATGTCCCATGCATTCATCAGTACATGCCGGTACCTGGATTTCACTTCCATGTTTTGCAGCAGGACTGCTTGATTCAGGGAGACTTTGAGTTGCTTGGGCTTCCACATAGTCATTCTTTATTAATGTTCCAATGGGACTGCCTTAGGTAACATACATACCGTCAGATTTACACCTGGTGGCAGTAAACTCAGTGCGCCTCCTTCAGTTCTGTGTGCTCAACATGAAGACATGGTGACTAACAAGTGGGAGGAGAGGGGGGATGCTCGCCATCCAAAGAACAGAAGTGCAACTGACGCAGACAGTTTTTGTTGAACAGCATCAGTGATGGAGTGAGTGCTGACAGCACCACATGGGGAATGGGATTGCCACCTTGCTGTTTCTGCAGGGCGTCTATGCCTGAGAAAGCCGCTTGCCAGAGGAGCAACAGGTTCAGCTTTCCCATTCACTGTCTTCTTGTGCTGGGTCCCAATGTACCTGGCACACTGCTGCCTGTCAAGCTCTCTAGAAAGTCACTGAGCCCTGAGAAGATAAACACCACCCCCACGCAAGGGAGCATTTGCTTCCCCACTGGCGGTTGCTGCTGCTGAAAGCTTCACGCTCAGTCTGCATGAAACTGTGGATGTGGAATTTCCTTCCATCTGTGCATGTTGGTTGTCCACCTAGTTTGTGGGAAAACAAAATCCTTCAGGGTTAGTAATGACCAGCAGGTAGAAACTGCAACAAATCCATTTTCTGATGTCTGGTTAAATGCCCATGACCACACACAGGTGTCATCCCACTTGCCCCAGATCCACTTCTTACTCCTGTCGATAGCCTCCTGGGGTCAACATTGAAGTGCTACTTGTTGAGCAGGCTGATATGGGCATTCAATAGTTTCTCATTCAACCTAGAGAGTTTGCCTGTGGTTGCTGTTCTGCTCAGTGTCCCTGCCTCTGGTCCAGCAAGAAACAATGAGTCGTGGACAGCAGTGGTAATCGGTGGAGTGGAATACATGCCGTCGGCTAGCAAATGTTGTGGACATTCCATTGCTTTCACCAGTGCACGAAGGGAGCTCACCTGGATTTTGGCAGTCTGCAGCCTATACAGGTCCCTTCTTACATTACATATATTTCTGTGTGAAGGCTCCTGCTGCAGCCTGTTGTGTAAAAAAGGCTTGTTAAGCTAGCACACCCTTTTCCCTGCTCTCAATGCAGTAGGAGGCAATTTTCTCTGACTGAATAATCTGCTTGCTCATCACTGTGCATGGGGAGAGTTGGGATGAATGACGGAGCTGCAGTCTTCTGAAAAAGCAAGGTGTTCATTTACCCTTCCTATCTTTTTTTTTTGCCTCCCTGGTTAAGGCATATTTGTAAATTTCATCCAGAGAATGCATGCCATATACCACTTGTGTATGTTTTGTGCATGCTGCTTTAACATGTTTCAAGTGACACTGCGTGGCACAATTAGACACGCCTGCAGAAAGATCCGAGGGCATTCTCCACCTGCAGCATTCCTAATGTGTACAGAACCCCAGTTGTGTGTGCACAGAGGATAAGATGGGGTTGATACCTTTCAGGTTTTCGTTTCGGCAGTTTCAAGTGATGACTTAGCAAACTAGTTTTCAAGTTTTTGCAGCTACACACATACTTTAGCTTCAGTTTCATCAGCAGTTAGTCATAGTTCTTTAACTGCGTGCAGGATTCTCGGCCATCTGGTTCCATCCATCTGGCATATGCTGCTGAGCAGTCTCCATTCCATTCCTTTCATTCAGGCATGCAGCATTCCATACCAGCAATCCTTGAATGATGGCTCTCTTGCTTACTACCAGCTTTAAAAAATAAATAAATAAAGTTTCACATAATTATTTCAATGAGCAGCATTTCTGCCTCTAAATTTTTACGATTAAAATACAGTGGAAAAATATTTTTGGAAGCCCAGTATGCTTTAATTGTATATATTTCAGTGTCAAACTGATACTTAAAACTGCATGCAAAGCAGCAATTCAAGCTTTCAAGGGACAGTGTCATGTTTCAAGTAATTGCATGCTTTCTTTCATTGCTAATTTTTTGTTGTTCTTTGTGCTGCAGTTTGTGCTTTTGCTGCTTCTTTCCTTCAAGGCTCAATAGCTTAGGGTAAGTGATGAGTGATACGTGCTTTTTTATCCCTGTTTTCTAGCTCCCAATAACATTATTTTTGACATATCACTAATGCTTTCTGGGCCTTGAGTACTGACCAGGTTCACAACAACATCCCTTGCACCTAAGTCTGGCCTTTGTGCAGCATCACTTCCTTGTTCGGTGCAGCGTCGGAAGCTGTGCAAGAGTGGTGTGATGCCCAGCTCTATTGTATCATTGTATGGGACACTCATGTGAGATACTCCTTTATGAAACACGTTGCCCGAGGAAAGATTTGCACAATTAGGCTGCTTCCGCATGTCCCATTTGCAAAGGGTGGGGAACCTGTGTGCCCTCCAGATGGGACAGAAATAGCCTAGCTTCAGTTGTCTGCGCTAAGTTGTATTACTGCAATGCATTGTCCAAGGGGCCGCCTTTGGAAACTGCAGCTGATGCAGAACTCAGCAACCAGATTGCTGACTGGGGCAAGACTGTCTCCTGCCTCAAATTGCACTGGATGCTAATTAGTTTCCAGGCTCAATCCAAAGTCCTGGTTTTGACCTATGACGCCTTCCGCAGGCCAGGACTCCCAATACCTCAAGGACTGCCTCTATCCACATGAACCAACCCAGACACACTGTTGTGTACTCTATCCGAGGGAAGTGCTGAGAGTGGCGACATGGGAGTAGGCCTTTTAAGTGGTGGCCCCTTGCTTGTGGAACACTCTCCCCAGGAAAGCACACCTGGCACCATCCATATCTGTCCTTGGGCACAAGGCAAAACCTTCTTTACCTGGGCTTTTGGTTTTTGGGGAGGGTGCCCATCTTTTAAGTGGGGCAGGTAGCTCACGTTCTTTTAAATATATTTTTGGATGAGTGTTTTCATTTTTGTTCATTTATACCTTATTTTAATGTCTTTGTTATTTCTATTTTTATTGTGTAAGTCACTCTGAGCCACTGGGGTGCAAAAAAAATTGTGAGTATTAAATAACAAGAGCAACGGTTACTAGGCTGCCACTCCCATCATACTGACCCGCAGCCGCGCTGGCTGAGACTGATGAGAAATGGAAGTCCCAACATCTGCAGGATTACAAGTTGCCCTTTAAATGTAGTTGCCACAGCCTAGGAAAAAGCTAAGATCCAGACGTGTTCTCTGGAGTACCGTATATACTGCAATGTATGAGAGCAGCATAAGGCATCTGCTACGGGGCAGCTGTACCATTACTCAGGATGTAAGTAGTCTGCAGCAGATACTGGATTATGGGATGTCATTAAGAGAGTTTCTACCTCATATATGAAAATGCATTGGGCTGTATCTGGTCTTGTATTGAATACAAAGAGCATCTGCTGCTTTTATAAATGTGATGGTTTAGCCTTTAAAGTCCCCGGTGAGTGCTCATACCCAGAAAATTGTAAATTTGATTTCCTGCTCACTGACCTTCACAATATGCCCTGACCTCTCTTTGTTTACAACCCTAGTGTTGTTGATCTTTTTGCCTTGTTCCAGAATATTTCCCTTTACTTTCAAAAGCTTCTGCAAAGTGTTTGCCTTTCTTTTTTTTTTTAAAGCAATTTATTGGGTTTTACAATAAGAATAAATGTAATAAACAATATAGCATTCGTCTTAACATAATTTCACATTTTCTTTGGACTTCCTCACATCTCCCACTCCCACCTTCATCATTATAACATTTTGTCAGCAATTTATCATCTTATTTAAATTCTTATATCTCTTCGATATTTCATAATCTTAAAGTTCTCATAAAGAGTTAAACTTTCACAATTTTTCTTATTTCCTTAAAAATTTCTAAGTTAAGTGGTGCTCAGTTATTTAGTCCAGCATCTTATTCAGCATTCAGTCAAATCACAATGTTTTTGTAGATAGTTCTTAAATTTCTTCCAATCCTCCTCGATTCTCTCTTCTCCCAGGTCACGGATTCTGCCAGTCATTTCAGCCAGTTGCATATAGTCTATCAGTTGCATCTGCCATTCTTCCAGTGTGGGTAGATCTTGGGTTTTCCAATGTTTTGCGAGTAGTATCCTTGCTGCTGTTGTTGCATACATAAAAATGTCTGGTCCTTCTTTGCCACCCCTTGGCTGACAATACCCAAAAGGAAAGCCTCTGGTTTCTTAGTGAAAGTATATTTAAATACCTTTTTCAATTCATTATAGATCATTTCCCAGAACGCCTTCACTTTAGGGCATGTCCACCAGAGGTGAAAGAACGTTCCTTCACACTCTTTGCATTTCCAGCACTTATTGTCAGACAGGTGGTAAATTTTTGCAAGTTTGACTGGGGTCATATACCATCTATAAATCATTTTCATTACATTTTCTTTCAAAGCATTACATGCAGTAAATTTCAATCCATTACTCCACAGCCTTTCCCAGTCCTCAAACATAATATTATACCCGATATCCTGTGCCCACCTTATCATAGCCGATTTAACCATTTCATCCTGTGTGTTCCATTCCAACAGCAAGTTATACATCCTTGAAAGTATCTTAGTCTTTGGTTCTAACAATTCTGTTTCTAATTTCGATTTCTCCACCTGGAACCCTAGTTTCTTATCACTTTTAAAAACTTCTTTAATCTGAGCATAGTGTAACCAATCTCGCACTTTGTCTTTCATTTTCTCCAAGCTCTGCAATTTCCAATTGTCTCCATCTTTTCTAGTATTTCCCAATATTTTGGCCATTTGGCCTCCATATTGGGTCTTTTTCGGGCCTTAGCTTCCAAAGGTGAAAGCCACCTTGGTGTTTTATTTTCCAGCAAGTCTTTATATTTTGTCCAGACATTAAACAGTGATTTTCTAACAATATGGTTCTTAAAGGCCTTATTTGCTTTAACTTTGTCATACCATAAATATGCATGCCATCCAAAAACATTGTTAAACCCCTCCAAATCTAACACATCAGTGTCTTCAAGAAGTAGCCAGTCTTTTAGCCAGCAGAGCGCTGCGGCTTCATAGTACAACTTTAAGTCCGGCAGGGCAAAGCCCCCTCTTTGTTTAGCATCGGTTAGTATCTTAAACTTAATTCTGGGCTTTTTGCCCTGCCAGACAAACTTCGAAATGTCTCTCTGCCACTTCTGAAAGCACTCCATTTTGTCCAAGTGTTTGCCTTTCATTTGCTTCTCATGTGTATATACTTAGGCAGTGCCCTCTTCAAAACATATCTCTTGTGCATAATACAAGCAGCTCAATGGGTCTTTCCTAACAACCTGTAAAAATGAAATCATAATGTATGTAGCTATTGGGATGGTTTTCAACTGGCCTGATCTCTATGAAAAAGTTATGTGATGTAGCTTACTGAGTTTGGTGCATGCCATTCCCTAGATTCCACTCAATTTTGAAAATATCTTTCCTGATTCAGCTAGCTACGGTGATCTTTTTAAGACATTTATCAAGTAGCATTTCTCTTTCAAATATCATCCATCCTAGGAGACTTTCAGAGAACATTTGCAATTTGATTTGTTGCTTATTCAACTTGCAGATCTTAAATAATAATTGGCCCTTCATAGATGTTTAGGTCCTTTTATCAGAAATGTGCCTTTATTGCACACAACGCATGTTTCCCCAGCATTCCAGCAATGCCACATTTTTATTTTTTCCAGATACGCTGTGTAAAGATTTGTTATCTGGGAAAATACATTTCCTTAAAATAATCCATTTGCTCTGACTGTATACAGTTGAAGAGTGTCAAGAGGGACCATTTAGCTACTTCCTGGGAGGCAGGTAGCGACAACGTCTTCCCCCAATGTCCACACAAATTCTTTCATTTTGCTTGTGAATTGTTCATCTTTTGTGCAGGAGTGGACATCCAGTTCATGATAATGAACATCTAGGACCTTTCCAGCCAAGTTTTGTACACCCTGCGCTCTGTGTGCAGTGTCCTAGAGGCATGGTCCTAGACCAGCATGATCCAGGTATTTGCAGTTATCAGCTTTCCAAGAACTGCTTTGCCAAAACCAACTCCTTCTGCTCACTTACAAAAGCAAAAACACTGATTTGCCATAGCTTTGAAAATTTTATTTCAGCGAACACAGTCCAGTTTCAAACAATTTATTAAAATATAGCAGTTCAAACATTTTTAATACAAGGGGTGCAAGCAGGATTGCTCTTGAAAATCCCAAGCATAAATAAATCTTTCATCGGTATCATAAAATAAGTTAATATTTCTTAGAATAAAAACTTAAGAAATCAAGCATGTTGGAACAAAAGATTTAAGAATAATTAACCCTTTTAGCTCTTACAAGTGAAAGGTATTTAAAAACGGAAACTAAAAGTTGCTCTTCTACAACTCCAACAAAGCACATTTGGTGTGTTCTGAAAGGAAATCGGCACACTGTTTTTGCAACCTTCTTGCAGAACTCAGACTTCCTCCACAAGGACTTCCTATTGCTCCCCCAACATAGCTCTGCTTCGGGTCCATCATCTTCCAACAGCAAAGTCAAATGTCTCTCCGTTTCTCACAACATGTAGTTCAACCTCAACTTGACACCAGTTACTGTAATCCTTGTGTCAGGCTGGGAAATTGCTTCCTGAGCAAGCTACTAAAGTATTTTGAAACTTCAGTGCAATTTTTCTGTTCAATTCAGCTTCATCCATATGCTGTCATCGTTCGGGAAGGTTAATCACTGGAACCCACTGGTCCATGTAGCGGCTTTCCCGGCAAAAGCAAATCAGCTGACTTAAGGCTGGATCCTTCCATTGAGAGGCATGTGGATTCTGAAAGGGGGAGAAAAGGGAAAAGGATCATTGTCAGCATGAAATAAAATTAAATGATACTGCTAACAGTAAAAGAGACTGAATATAAATGATCTGCGTAAATTTTGAGTTTGTAGCACATTCAACAGGGTATTTTGGAATTAATTATTTTCTTTAAAACCAGTAAAAGAAACATCATTTTTCAAAAACAAACCAATGTTCATGTGCTATGGTTAACAAGTCCACAATTCCCATTCAATTGGGTGAATTGAGTAACAGTGACGGAGTATTTTCATCACAGTTCAACTGAGTTATCTAATAATGACCTCTGAGCCAATTAGTAATAAGGAAAGACAAATATAGACAGGGAGTTACTGTAGATAGTGACTCATGGGGTTGTTTTCTCCTGCTGACAGCAGGATGAAACATGCTTGAACATGTCTTTGCCTCGAAAATCCCTATGAGCAAAGTAGGAAGCGTGGTATGATTTGTGCAGGGGGAAAGGTTAGTGACAGAGGTCATGCTGATCTTTCCTTCAAACCACAGAGGCAGAGATGCACCAGTGCAAGGACACTGAAGAAACCACTACAGTTTTTGTTTTAAGCCAGAGTGAGATTAGAGTATTTAGACAGATTTTTACAATTTGCAATTCAGCTTCTTTCAAAGAAATGCTGTACAGTCCAGAAGGAGACTCTGAAGCAACAGTGAGGTCATGCTGGCTGCCCTCTATGCCCAACATGTTAATGAAACACAGGACTTACTGTCACAAGCACACAGTGCAGGTCTGCAGGCTGCTCGCCCCCTCCACTCGCCCCCAAGAGCAGCAGCTCCGCTAGCCGGCTTGGGTTGCTCACTCGGAGTATGTTAATGTCATTCTCACAACAGAAAGCTTGGATCAGGGTGAAGTGAATTTGTAGCGCAACATCCTGGTTGTCTTCCTCATCGGCTGCCAGCAGACAAAGCACCACATTATCTGGATCCCTGGAGGGATAAAACAATGCCAGCTAAGTTAGTCACAGCCCCAACAAACAATGATGCATTTTTCAACGACATAAGGGAGACAAAACAGGAACCAAAGTCACAGGGCATATGAACACATGGTAATGCGACTGTCTATATACTATACACGGGGGGGGGGGTCCTATTATGTTATTTTCTATGAACTGTACTCAGCTAAATTTCACTCACCACTGAAATCAATGAACATGATTATTATATCTATTTCAAGTCAAAATTCATTGGCTATCACCCAATGTGGTTGACCTTTCACACCCTGGATTTTAAGCGCTGAATTTTCAAGGGCTATGTATCTACAACTAAGGTCTGTGGAGCAAGGGGGAGGGTTTTTGTTGCACTTTCTCCCCCCCCCCACACACACACAAAGGGGGAGGGGAACCCGATTACATTTCAGCACCAAACTAAAGGGGACGGGCACATTTTCAAAACCGCTGTTCAGCAGTTCCCATTGTGTCAACTGTCAACTGGGTGCTTGGAACTCTGGCATTGTGGGTAAAAGGGGGAGAGGTTTTTTTCTGAAATCTGTCCCACAGACGAAACTCTGTGCCTAAGTAGGGGCAGTTATGCATGATCAAGTATTCAATGTCCACACAGCTGCCCGGAAGTTTTCCTATCTGCACAGTGCAAGTTTGCCTCTTAACTGATCTAGTGTTTCCTCAGAAAAGTCCTCAGGCACAGCTGCCCTAAGAGAGGTGGGAGGACCTGTTTCTTGTTACTCATCAATACAAAAGGGCACCAGCAAGCCAGTTTCTCACTTACACGTTGAGCAGCTTGGCAGCCTCATACACTCCGATGGTGATGCTTCTCTGAGTCAGGGCTTTGCTCAGGACTTCCTCCAGGGCATCCCCTACCTTCTCCATGCTGATGGCATCCGAAGAAAAAATAAAAAGGGGGGTGGGGAAGCAGCGAGAGGCTCTAATTAGCGTTTTTATTTAAATAAAACACACCAAACAAATCCAAAGGGGGGGGGGGGAAAGAATAGATCACCTTGCCTTAAGTAGCGCCCCCCCCGGCCCACATTCCCTCCTGGCGCCCTCATGCCCTGCAAAACTGAGGGGAAGCTGAGCTGGAAACTCCCCTGAATGGGATCTGTTCAGAAATAAGCGGGAGCCAAGTGCTCCCACAGGAAAATCGCTTCCAAGCGCAGGTTATTTAGAGTTAAAGGTGCGCTTGCTTATCCTGTCAGGAAAAAGAAAAGAAGGGAAAAAGCTACAACCCGCCACGCCTCTCTCTCTCTCTCTCTCTCTCTCTCTCTCTGACACACGCACACTCTGCAATCGACTGCCGGTTTTCTTCCTTACGCGCGGATCTACTTTCTTCCGCAGATCCCCTCCAGGCAATTTTATTTTTTTGCACCAGAGCATTTTTTTCTCCCTCCCCGCCACCGGTCCCAGCTGTGAGGCGACTGGCGGTCGCGGCGGCGAGCTGGGCGACCCTGTGCTGCCTCGATCCGGAGAGCTCAGCGAAGTCTGCAGCAGGCAAACTCCTGTCCCTCCAACCTCCACACCGCCCGCCGCCACGCATCGCAAAGCCGAGCTGCAGCTGCTGCCATCGCGTACCTTCCGAAAGTCTGGTGCTCCCCAGCGAGCTCTTCCAGAGTCATATTGCAGCTGCAGATCCCTGCAAAGAAACCAATCCAACGGGGGGAACGGGAGAGGCAGCCTTCAATCCTCCTCCTCGCCCTGCGCCCTCTGCCTTGCTTCTCGGCTCCTCCGGCTGCCCTCAGGGGAATCCGCGTAAGTGTCCCTCCAGTAAGTCCTTCGGGGCGGCGGCGGTGCTGCTTCGCTCCTGCCTTTCGCCTTCCTCGCCCACCCGGGCACTTGCAGCCCCGCTGCTCAGGCCGATTCCTACGCGCACTTCCCCGCTCCTCCCTCTCCCCACACGGCGCTGCCACTCTGAGGGACAAAGGGCTCCCCGGGCCGGAGTTATCCTGCCAACCCCCAGCCAACCGTCTCCCGGCTCGTTTGCATGCGGCCACCCTATTGGGGAATGCAAATGAGCCGGGGCGTTCGACTTGGGGCCACCCTGGGAGGGGGGGGGGAGAGAGATCCAGGCTGGGAAAGCTGGGTCAGTAACTTTCCCTGCCCTCGCCCGGCGCTGATTGGCAGAGGGAGAAGTTTTGGGGGGCGGAGTTTGCTGCGGGTGCCTGGTTGCTCTCCCGCCTCAGCTGTTTTTTCTTTGCTGGTTGCATATTCCGCCCCCCCTCCCCTCGCTGCCTCTCTCTCTTTGTTTTGAGAAAGGGGAGGGGGGATTGCGCGCGAGCTTCTGTTTGTGGGCTTAATGCTCTGCAGATCACCCCTGACAATAAATAGTTGTTAGTAAGCAAAGTTGCAAAAGTCAGGAGGGAGCGGGCTCGCAGCAGCGGCTGTTTTAACTCGATCGGCGCCTGGTGCTCGTGTAGATATGGGAATCGCCACCTCGGGATGAGTCCTGTTCCCCCGCTTGCTGCTGCTGTTTTCCAGCTCCTAAGGACACTGTGGGTTGTTAGGATGGCACGCACGGCAGAATTTTATGAGCGCGTTTAATTAGACAGGTTGCGGGGATTTGAGTTTCGGGCTCTTGTTTCTTAAGCGGGCTGTGATCTGTGTGACCTTTGGGTCGTAAGATGCAGCTTGATTTAAATGGGGAGGAGCTGGCCGCTTGCTCAAGATCCGGGATGGGGAACTTGCCCTCAGGTGGTGTTGGGCTCCTGCTCCCAACTCTCCCAGCTCCGGGGTGTTGGGAGCTGAGCAAAACGCACAGAAAGTACCACAGGTACTTACACTTACACCCCAGCCCGCCTACCTACTGTAGAGGTGAATGTCAGGGAAGCAAACCGCTTTAGCCTATGGAGAATTGTGCTTATGCTGCAGTTTTCCAAGTGTGTGTGAGGCAAGTGACATTGAGGTAACCAAGCTTTGGAAGAGGCAGGGCGGCCTCCTCAGCTCGGGTCAGCTGAGGCCTTTGCACTATCACTCGATGACAGCTGCCCCAAGTGAGGTATTGCATGTGTGAAGAGTGAGCCATCAAAGATAAAGCACTGCGACCACACCTTCCACAGACTAAAGGGCATTGGTAGCCGTAGGTCTGCTCTGAGGGCATCTCCACACTTAACTTTCCACTGCTGTTTCCAGGAAGATTTCTGCACTCCCCCCCCCCACCTCCCCAAGCTTTCTTGCTCCGGTGGACCATGCCTGACAAGGGTGCCAACTTGAATAAAATATTGGGGGGCAGGGGAGTTCAACCCCACCCTGCATAATCACAAAATGTGGCACATACACACCATTTAAATGGCAATGCCCATCAACCTGGGGGGGGCACCCCCTCAAATATTTTATTTGGAGGCCAGGCAAGGGACCTCAGCCCCTAGGAGTTGGCTCCCAAGATGCCTGAAAAGAGCAGAGAAAAGGTAAGTGTGGATAACCCCTATGTTGGGGACAACCCAATGCAGTTCAGTCTATACCATTAGCTTTTTCAGCTGCCTGATAAAAGGGAACATGAACAACATGTACCGCTTCACTCAGTGAGAGAGGCCAGCCCCACTTGGCAGAATTCCTCTTGCCCCACCTCCCCACACCTTTGCATGTTTGCAATGTGTGTAAAAGGGCTCTCCCCTGGATACTGGTATATGTGGGTGGAGCTGCAAGCAATGAGGGGCCACGATTGGGCCAGAGTCCAACTCTGGGTGGAGGAGTTTTACCTGCACACACCAGTATCTGGAGAGAGCCGTTTCCCACACTGTTTGAATGTGTAGGCAGTAGAGGGGCAACCCAGCAGTGAGGCACCAGTGCAGCCCCCAGCCCCCCTCCACCAGTGTTTTGCCACATGGGGAGGGTTGTGTGAACACCATAAGTTAAATACATGCATGCATGAACCAATCCTGATTGTACAAATAACATTTTTCTTTATTTGTTGCATTTCTACCCCATATTTCCTGCAAGGAGCTCAAGGTTCTCTCCCTCCTCATTCTATCCTCACAGCAACCCTGTGGTGTAGGTCTGGCTGAGAGACTGTGACTGGTGCAAGGTCATCCAACGAGTTTCATGACTGAGCAGGATTTTGAACTCTGGCCTCCCAGGTCCTAGTCCAATGCTCTAACCACTAAACCAAATATAGTTCTATACACTGGGGTCGTGGGGGGGGGGGCGACAGCGGGATGAGAGCAGCTATTTAAGATCTGTCAGCAGATCTTCAAAAGACTGATAAGGCAAAAGCACGTTCCCTTATTCTTCCCAGCAAGCACTCTGAAGCAGAATGAAAACCCAACAGTTCACTAGTAATGCCAAGGAATTATTATTTTTTTACACAAACTGTGTGAAAAATATGTTTTATTCAATCATTCGGTGCAGGAGAAGTGGAGAATAAGAACCAAACAGGACAAAATAATCATGAAGTATGCATTCTTCTTTCCCTTCCCTAATTTACATTCTTCACATTTCACACTGTTAACTGGGGTTGGTGTGGATCTATATGCATAAATGCACGTGGTTTCAACAGATAATTTTGCAAGTTAATGACATTTTTAAACCTGTCATCTCAGGGCAAAATATGCAGGTTGGCTTGGTGTAAAAGAATTCTCCTCTCCCATCCCTTTTGCATTCAGGCCAATGAGGAAAGCTTCTGGTCTGACTGACAATCAAGTGAAGCATTGAAGAGTCCTCCTCTCCAATTGAAAGGCCTATAAAGGGGAGGAGTTTCCTGCTTCCTGTTTTCTTCCTAATGATATTACTGTTGTTGGCCAGAATCTAATCACCTCACATGGAGGTTGCAGGTGATTGTTTTTCGAAGGCACCCATTCCATGAGGTGCCTAACGCAGGCACAGAGCGTTTCCATGTGACTAGGTGAAACCAAGAGTAAAACACATTTCAAACATTACAGCTTCCATGTTGAGAACAAGCTAACGTGACTTTTGTTCTTGTTAGTAAATCCCTCATGGAGGCCTTGAGGTCTGAGGCGGCTGTTAGGCCCGGTTCATTTCAAAAAGGAGCTGCATCCGAGGAGATGGTTCCATGTAGAACATTGTTTGTGTGAATTAGCTCCTCACGCGGTTGTGACAATTTCAGTCACACCAATTGAATTACCCCCTCCCCAATATTTTTTTTTAAAAGAGTGTCACAAGTCACAACTACCTGGTTCACTCCAATTGTTTTATGCATTAAATTTACACAATTCCCTTTTAAGTGGCAACCACACCACTGTATTAAAGTGGTCATTAGGAGGCCTGACAGAGAGCAAGACTATTCATGGCAAGAACAACTCAAACGTGCTGAAATGTCATGTCCAGTTGGAGCTGTTGGACTATAGTTACTGGGGAGCGGGGAGAGCCACACAGAGTGTTATTTGTGCCAGGTTTTAATTCCTGGATCTGGTTTTGAATGCCAGGACTAAGCTTCGGCATTCATGAAGTGATAAAAAGGTGCCTCTGAGCATGTGCCGTGTGCACTGCCCTGACCACTGCAGTGTGCCTTTCTGCAAATCTCCAAGACTGGTGACAGGGGAGCAAGGCAGGCTTGATGCTGCATGTGCTCCTTCCTCCTTTGCAACCTCCAAATGAAAGAATACATACATAAAGGATGCAATGACTTTAATATGCCTCTAGTCAGTAGATCCAGGAGCCAGTCTCAAAACTCTTTCTCTTTTCTTTTCTTTTCCGCCCCCGCCCCTCATAATCTGGTTGCTTTCTATTCCATACTAGTTTTTTATTTCCTCTTCAAGGCCACAATACCCACTTCCCAAATATTAATTTCCGCCTGGGGTCCTATATTAAAAATCAGCACCGTAGATACATAAGCTTACACTTTCAAACTACAGAGATTAAAAACCCACACAAATTATATATTCTTCTATATATGCAGCCTAATCATATGTGTATGTGTGTATAATTTCTTATCCAGCCTTTCATTAGTACACTGGGAAGTGTTAATGAAGGAAACACAGAAGATGTTTTGGAGTGTTTGCACAAGACCCAGTTGAGAGAAAACAGCTGAAAACTACCAGAGGGCCCTTTGGCTAGCTTGAGGAAGGTAAGGAGCCACTAAGCAGTGAAAATAAAAGGGGTGGGAGGAATTCTTTAAAAAAGGTTCCCCACCCCTATGTTAGGGGCGGAAGAAAGCAAATTCCCAGTTTTCTGTTTCTCCTTTTCCAACAGCTCTCAAAATATCATGGCTCATAGAGACCATTGAGCATTCTCAGTTTTAAAGCCCCTCCCTTTAATTTATAGGCATAAATACTTCAGCCTTTCTGGGCAATATCCTAAGTACCAAGAAACTACAATGCTATCCTGGTTGGTTTCAAACTGGTAGACACTCAATCCTCTCTCTCTCTCTCTCTCTCTCTTTATATATGTCTATTGAGAAGTACGTAATTATTGAATAAGGCTTTCTCCCAAGTAAGTGCATTGGATTGCAACCAGACAATGCAATTCTGTGCATGTTTACTCAGAAGTCAACCCTGTGCAGTTCAGCAAGGCATATGCCTTAGTAAGTGTGCTCAGCTTTGATTTGGTTTGGAACAGAAATGTGAAACATCCGTTTTTACCACATCATTGACTGGAATGAGAAAACTTTTTTTTTTAATGGTTCTGCTATGCTTTCACCTGCTGTTGGAAGGTTCTCACGATTCACTGATGCATTCCATGTTAGGAAATCCGTTCTAACCAAATCCATCTGCTTCCTTTCTGCCCTCCATCTGGCATCTCATTTCTGTTTTCCAGACCCATAACTGCATTTGCAGGATAAAGTTCTACCTCTTCTAATTACCCCAAGATGAATGGAGAGAGGAAACAAAATAAATAAATAAAATAAAATAAAAATAGGGCACGTGGGCATTTAGAGCAAAGGACAGGTTTTGAGAACCATAGACGAAGGAAGCAGGTGGATATAGCTGATTTAGGCTGTGATCCTATAGCCTGATTTGGGAGCAAGTCCCATAGAACTCAGTGAGATTTGTGTTGAAGTAGAAACGTGTAGGATTGCACTGTGTATACTGTGTATTGTTAAATGTGCATTAGCATTACAAGGCTTAATGGATGAGAGGCAGAGCACAAAGGAAAGGTGATTGCAATGCAGATTTTTAAGGAGTAATAAGGAAGTATGGTTACATGGTGTGTGTGAATTTTCTTTGCAAGTAGAGGAAAGGAAGTGGAATAAATTGGAAGAGGGGAATAATGGAGACATTTCTGCATGCTTTTTAAAAACTGGTTTCAGTTCTGCAGCCTAGCTCTGCTGGAGTTTGGAAGCGATATATCTGCCGTTTTTGTGTTTTTATCTTTGTGGTAATGAGACATATTTTACCCAACTTTTCAGTGTGTGCTTATATAGAAGGTCACAATTCAATTTGTCTTAACCAGCATCCATGCTCATGGTTCTCCTGGGGGATGTGATCCACAAAAAGTTGTCATGGAACACTCCTCAATCCGGTAGTGTCCCAAATTAGGGTGCAGGCTTCTGGGCTATTCCTATTGGTAGAATGAAGGGCAGTATGGAAATTTGAACAACAACAACACTACGAAGCCATCTTCTCCAGCACATCAAACAATGCTCTCTGCAAGTGGATCTGCTTGCAAATGGCAAGCTGGAGCCTTCCTCCACATCCTGTAGCCAGGAGGTTTTCTAGCCCACTGCTTTGTACGTCCGGGTGCAGCTGTTCCCCACAAATGGGATCTGCTAAGAGGGAGCAGACCTTCTGATGCAGAAGGGCTCTATCTCGACACCTTCCCATTTGTAAAGAAGAAGATCTGCAGTCTGCTGAATAGCACAGCCAAACGGAGCAAGGTTTTGAAAAGTGTGCTAGTGAGCTTCATACATACAAATAATCCTTGGGTTAGTCTTTGCAGGTGCGGACTCTGCATTCACAAAGGGTGCCCCAATAACTCACTGAGGCAAGGAAGAACAAGGTGCATATTCCTTGCCATTCCAGGAAGAAGCAAGCAGGTGAGGAGACAGCCCTCTTTTCAGGAGCAGGTTTAGGGAGTAAGGTAGTATCACAAAAGGGCTGCACATTCTTAGGTATTTAACGTATTATTTTTGCTCTCCATGAGAGACATTTATGGGATTTTCTGCTTCACGTGACAAGATAACTGGGCCAGCCTTGGCTTCATACCTTCCAACGCAAAACTGGAATGCGTGTCTTCCGGGACGCACTTCCCGTGCCTCACCCTTGCCCCCCCAAAACACACTTTTGTAGGGTGCAAGATCTTACACGGCGCCCAAAAACTTTTTTCAGCAAGATCATGGCACCCAAAATGGCTGCCGAGATCTTGCAAGAAAAGACAAGGTGGCGTGTTTTTTCCAGGGCACTTGGAAAATATGTTATGTGGCTACTTTAGATATCAACGGCTGTTGACCATTATGTTCCACCAGCACTATCACAGGCAGTATGACTTTGAATACAAGTTGCTCGGAATTGCAAGTGAGCAGAGCGCAGGTGAACAGGCCTGATTCAGCCGATTCTTCTTATGTTCTTAACTATCCACCTTGACATGGATGGCGGGGGCACTATGTGTTGTTTCATCTCAGATAACAAAATGCCTTGGGCCAGCCATACCTCTTTTGTTGAATTTCCCCAACTCGGCATGCATAGACAAGCGCCCACATCTCAGCATTAGGGAATGGGCCACATAGCCTTTCGTACTGCCTTCCTTTTGAAAACGCAGTCAACATCTTCATTTTCTCACTCCCTTCTTTTTCCAGTAAATTATTGACGTAAGAGCTGAGGCAGAAGATATGGTGAGAAACTTTGTACCTCTGTCGAAACAGGAAGGGTTGAGCCCTCAAGCTATTAATGTCACAAGGGTTGCTTTGAGAAGCCGGGTCCTGGAAAAAAGGATTAGGTGTATAAATGGGTATCCTATTTTCTGCCCGAGAGAAGCACATAAGATTGTTAGCAAACAATACAAAGGGGTGCATTTTGTTCAATACCTTTACTGGGGGGCAGGGGACAAAACTACATGTAAGACAGGTTTTTAGATATCCAAGGGTTTGTGTGAAAAGGAAATTATTTTTATTTAAGTTCTACTTTCAACTTTGGGGTGTTAGGGGAGGGGTAGTACTTCTCATGGGGGACACGTCATGTTCCTTCTGGGGTAGTTTGTCCATCTTTGGTCCCCACCCTGCACTCATCTCCTAGAAGCTGTCAGTATGCAACAGTGTCTGAGAAACAGCTTTTACTGGCCAGCTAAACCACATGAGGGTAGCTGATAGGTCTTAAACCCTCAGTGAGTTAGGTGGTTTCTGCACATGCTGTAGAGAGAAGTGAGGGGCAGATGAGGTTTGTCAACCTGGGAAAGTAGCCTATCTTAGGAGAAAGAAAACTCTGATCCTAAGCCTTGTGGGATATATTTGGGAGAGGAAAAGGCTACACAAATCTGGGGTGGAGTCTCTAAGACAGTTGGACGGCGCCTTGTACACCTCCTTCCAGCAACTCCTGCAGCCAAGGTGGTACCAAATGTATTGCTCTGCTTTCCACATGGGCTGAGGCTGAGGAGGGGGGTGTCTTGTCTAGTCCAATCCCCTGTAATGCAATGATGATGGGATTGCATCCTCTAGTGCACCTGAGGCAGGAGTCTAGTTTGCAGAGTAGGGGAAGCAGAGCAGGTCATCTAGTATATTCAGACGGGAATAGTTAGGGCTTTTAGGAGGGGCAGCCAGCATCTGCTGCTACTGTCCAGCATCTGCCCTTGTCTTACTTCGTCTAATGGTAGGGCCGGCACTGGGAAGGGAAGAATGATTAGGTTTACTACCTATTTTTCTTTAAATGATTTGTTTTATACCACCCACTGACCTGTGCAACACAGCAACAAACCCTTTTCTGTGGGAACTTGATAACTAATCGAAACTCAAACGAATGATGTGATTTATGGGCAACCCTCCTTTACTTGCAGATTTAGCCCTGGTTGTCCAATGACATTGACATTCCTTAGCTACATGTTAGAGGTGCAAAGTTCTTGATATGCTCACCTCCATGAGTCAGCATTTCCTCCCCTTGGCCACGACAAAGAACATTAGCACAGAGGAGTTATAGGAGGGAAGCCAACTTCCTTCTATAGCTAGAATGCAGATTACAGAGGTACAAAGCAGGGTTGATAAGGGTGCTGGGTCAGTCAGTTTTGCGTCTTCTGCTGTGCTTCAGCTGTGCTCAAATACTTTTAGTCATTTAAATATTTGTCACCTTAAAAAAAAGAGATTTCAAAGGAGTTGAAAATATGAGGCCATCTGCTGAAGGCAAGGGGGAGTGGAAGTTTGCAGAAGTCCATTTAAAAAACCACTCTGGAGGAGTATCTCCAAACCAGCTCTGTGAGGACTGATCATTCTAAACAGCCATGAAATGCTGAGAGTTGCAGGGGTGGGTGTTTGGAGTAGACAAACCAAGGGGAGAGTGATTGTTCTGCTTGACTGGAATGAAACTTTAAAGAAAAAGACTCTTGCCATTCTTTATTCAAGCTATTTCTATACAACCTTTCATGCAAACATTACAAGGCAAAGAACAAGAAAGCATTAAAAAAAAGGAGATTATGGAATAAATAAGAATAAAGGAATAATTATTAAGAGGGAGGATACACTACCCGCAAATTTTCTTCAAAGTCCCAATGGCAAAATCTAGAGTGAGATCTTTTGACCGCATTTGGGGCATTTGGACAGGAAGTATGATGAGGAAATGGAAGGGGTTTTCTCAAGCGGCGGAGATAAAGCAGCACGTCTGGTTTCTGCGTCAGTGAGATGTGCAGATATCGGAACTCCTGAAATTACTGGTTACCAAATTCAGCTGTCTTCTTAGTATCACTGGGCTGCTGGTAGGAAGAAAGCAGTTCATCCTGTGCCAGAAGTTTACATGAAGGTTATGGGTACTTTATCATAGAATCAGAGTCAAAGATCGTTTAGCCCAGTTCGCTGCCAATCTAGGAAACCGATTACCTCATAATAAAACCTCTAGTAAAGGAGAGTCTACCCCCTTCTGATAAGGCAGCCTGTTCTGCTGTTAAACAGGCTGTACTATCAAGACATTCTAATCAGTTCTAGCATTTCTCTCTGTTTTGAGTATGTATTTTTAATTCTATGAATATTTCTGCGGACTTGGAACAAGGGTAGGGAACTTGGGGCCCTCCGAGGGACTACAACTCCCATCATCCCTGATCACTGCCCATCCTGGCTGATGAGAGTTGAGGTCCAACAACAACTGTGGGAGAGCACAAATTCGCCATCACTGCCCAGAGTGATGCTAGCAAGACTATTGATTTCCTGTTTCAGGGCTCCCCGAATCCACCACCATAATATCACAACTACAAAAACTGGAGAAACAATAATCCCAACAAAAATACTGTCCACATTCTATCAGTCCATGTCAACTGGGGTTGATGGGAGTTGGGATCCAGAAACATTTGGAGGGCCACAGGTTCCCATCCCTGCCTAATGCTATCCCACTTCGTTTGATCATTATTTATTACAGTGGTACCTCGGGTTACATATGCTTCAGGTTACAGAGTCTGCTAACCCAGAAATATTACCTCGGGTTAAGAACTTTGCTTCAGGATGAGAACAGAAATCGCGCAGCGGCAGCAGGAGGCCCCATTAGCTAAAGTGGTGCTTCAGGTTAAGAACAGTTTCAGGTTAAGAACGGACCTCTGGAACAAATTACCGTATTTTTTGCACCATAACACTCACTTTTTTCCTCCTAGAAAGTAAGGGGAAATGTCTGTGCATGTTATGGTGCGAATGCCTACGGATGGCGGGGGGATCTGCTGCAGTTGTGAGCAGAGGATCCATGGTTCCCCTTCCTTCCCTCCTCCGTGACTCGCTTTGAAACAGCAAAGCAGGTGAAGAGCCGCTGAGTGGGGAGGAGAGAGGGACAGAGAGCCTGCTTCTTTAAAGGAGCAAAGCGGGAGAGGAGAGGAGCCGCTTACACGGGTCACCCCAAATTCACCAGCAGATCACATAGCATGTCCATGGCTACAGCTTGCACCAAAAAAATCATGCACCCACTGTTGCCTGGGGCCGCGGTGGTGCAAAAACATGGTTACAAAGCATGGATCCTCAGGATTTTTGCATTGGGCTACCCCAAACTTACCGTCAGATCACATGTCTGTGGCCACAGAATGAACCACAAAAATCATACATCCACTGTTTCGTTTAGAATATTTTTTTTCTTGTTTTCCTCCTCTAAAAACTATGTGCGTGTTATGGTCGGGTGCGTGTTATAGAGCGAAAAATACAGTAAGTACTTAACCCGAGGTACCACTGTACATTTATATACTGCCTTTATCTTCCAAGGAGCTCAAGGTGTGCATGGTTCTCTTCCTCTCCATTTCATCCTCACAACAGCCCTGAGAGGTACGTTAGGCTGAGAGACTGTGACTGGCACAAAGTCACACAGAGAGCTTCACAGCTGAGTGGGGATTCGAACCCTGGTCTCCCAGGTCCTAGTCCAACACGCTAACCATTACACCACAAAGGCATATTTTGCTAGAGGAATGTCTTTAGGCCAGAAGTGGGTGGCATAGTGGGGCAATGGCATTTAACCTGACCTCCTGATAGCTGAGTCGCCACTGCTTAATGGGAAAGAGAGGGCCAAGGTTGGCATGGTGCCAGTCCAGGGCTGCTGCCAGTGTGCTGGCACCAACCTCCCTGCCCCCTTGCTCCCCTTTCCTTCCCAATAAGCAGCAACAACTCGGTTTTGGGGAGGCTGGGTGAATGCCGTCATCCCACCCGCCTTCTGCTGCTGTTTTGGATCTGAAACATTCAGTGTAGTCTAACATAAATCAGATTTATGGAATCATAGACTTGTAGAGTTGGAAGGGACCCTGAGGATCATGTAGTCCAACCCTCTGCAATGCAGGAATATGCAGCTATCCCATACAGGGATTGACAGGGATCGAACCTGCAACCTTGGCATTATCAGCACCACGCTCTTAACCAGAATATCTTTATAATGTAGTTCTTATGCACTGATAAGCTCCCTTAAAACCACAATGTCCGTTTTGTTACCAGTAGATCGTGATAACTTTATTTCCTGTAATCCTGGGCGAATCAGTGATTATAAGGCAGTCGCTTCTCCCAGGGCAAAACACAGTTCTGCAAACTGAGGGCCACACTTCAACTTTTGGTCTCGCTAGGTTAGCTCAGATTACGCCGCCATCGTATTTTGTGACAAGATGTGATGTGACACATCGTCAAGCCTGATGCCTGGGAAAGCTGCTCTTGCAGCAGGTAGAAAGGGAGCAGCAGATGGTAAGGCAGCAGTAAAACAGGTGGAGGCATTGTTTGAAGATAGCCTGAATTAAGCTTGCTTAATTTGTTGGATCTCTGCTAAATCCCAGCAACGATTGTCTCTTGCGCAGCATCAAGTTTATCCAGCGGGCAAGCAGTCAGAACTAGACCATCTGTAATCACTTATTGTGCTAAATCTTCTTTAAAGCTAGCCACCAAACAAATGTCTTTCCTCTCGCTCGTTCTAGGTGAGAACAGCCCCTGACACCAGGGCATGAGAAAATACGCTGCAGAGCTTGGAAAAATGTTTATTTTCCTGGGAGTATTTTCAGCTGGAGGGTAACTCCCTTCTCTTCTCACTTGGCTGAAGTGCAAAAGAGACCTCTGACAGTCACAGAGTTTGCCTTTCTACTGGGGCCCTCTTCCAAAAGGAGAAAAGCATTTTCCAAAACAAGGGCCTCCGAGGTTGCTGAGATTGCAGCCTTGATGTGGGAATCAGCTTCAAGCCACTCCCACACTCGATAGAGCTGGAGTAGCAATACAAAGGAGCTGAAACGAACCTTTGTGTTCTCCTTGGCATGGGCAATTCTGTCTTAAACTTTGGGGCCACAATTACAAGCTCTTTCTGCCCTACCCTTCCACCTCTTCCACCAGGATATCAAGAGATGTTTCCTTGGATGGTGCTCTTGCCAATGGCCAGGAGCGAAATAGGATGATTATTTGGAAGCAAGGCTCCACACAAGACTACAGCACCTGTTTTCCCATCTCAGGTGTGTACATCCCCACACTTGTCTTTGGGGGAGTCACTGTTAGTGGTCCTCCATGGTTCGGATCCACCAGAAGCCATTCTTTTTAGTATTATGGGCCCAGTTTTTCGGGACTCCCTTCCAATTCAAGTCAGACAGGCCTCCTTCTCTACTTAACTTCCAGAACTTACTGAAGAGTTTTATTCCAGCAGGCAATTTAATATTTCCCCCCCGGTTTTTAATTTTTTTTGTACTGTATAATTGTAAACCACGTGGGCATATTCTGCAAGTGTCCTGGAAAAACTGGGACATTTTGGGGGGGGGTATCATGAGCGCATGATGTCCCCTCCACAATCTCGCACGGTGACCCAAAATGCACATTTTGGGGCACCATGCTCTCCCAAAGTGCTTTGGGGGGGACGGGACCACAAGGCAAAATCATGTGAGATCATGGCTGCCATGCTCTCACAGAAGGGGGGGAAGGGAAGATGTTGTCTGGGAAGATGGCATCCTGGATTTTGGCTTCAAAGTGTTGGAGGGTATGTGTGGGTATTATTGCAATTCAGCGGTACAAAAATTGTTTACATGAATGAATGAATGAATGGAGTAAATAAATAAACAAACAAATAAATAAATGATATATAACATAGAATCCTAGAGTTGGAAGGGACCCTGAGGGTCATCTAGTCCAACCCGCTGCAATTATTTGGTGAAAACTTTGTGCTCTGAATGGACCTGCATAAACTGTTGCACCATGTGTCAGGGTGGATTAGGGTGTGTGTGTGTGTGTGTGTGTGTGTGTGTGTGTAAGTACCTCGGAAGTCGAACGCCTTGTGACTCAAACGTTTTGGCTCCTGAATGCCGCAAACCTGGAAGTGAGTGTTATGGTTTGCAAATATTGTTTGGGACCCGAACATCCGATGGGGCTTCCATGGCTTCTGATGGGCTGCAGGAGCTTCCTGCAGCCCATCGGAAGCTGCACCTTGGTTTCCGAATGTTTTGGAAATCGAATGGACTTCCGGAACGGATTCCATTTGACTTCCGAGGTACGACTGTATCCCAATTGCCTTGCCCATCCACCCAGAGTAGCGCCTAAGCTTTTTGTGAAGAGTCGCTTGACTGCCTGATGCCACATTTCAGGTCATTTGTTCTCAGTCAGCACACTGTGCTTCTCTTGCTGATCCAAGCTGATCCAGGACACCAGATCCCCAAACACGCCTGTTTACCCTCCAGACAGGCAAGGGAGCATTTTATTCACACTCTGCAGCACCATGGTACCCTTTGGCCCTTTAAAAAAACACAACCCCCCCCCTTGTATTTCACCTTTAGGAAAAGGAACTCTGCGCATGCTGAGAGGCACTCTGCCAGCATATCAAAAACGGTTGTAGGTGTGAGCCAGAAATAGACTCTGGATAGTGCTGTGGGAGAAAGGCAACCTCACCCTTAGGACCAAATTAAACCTGGGTGTGTAAACACAGATCTGGCTCGGTTTCATCGGCTGTGTACTACACATGACCGGCTTGAAATGCAGACAAGGTTGTTCTTTTCCTCAGTACGGATTGAAGCTGGTTTCGGAGGGTAGATTTGCCAGTTGCGTTGCTAAAATGCACCACATCGTCATCCAAGTGACCGCAGGGAGCATTTCAATTTGAAATATTCTGGTTATTTCTACTTTTAGTTAAGCAATTTTATTTATTTACTTGATTGGAGGAGGAGGGCAGCTGCCCCCCTGCCCCCTGGCTACACCCATGGAGACTGATTGTGGTGGGAACACTCTGGGTACAGAATAAAAGCAAGTTTGTACGCAGATACAGAAAGCGAGCAGTGATGGGTCTGAATTTAACAGCAAAGGGGGAGGCGTGGCAGACAGAAGTCTCCTCTGTCGGCAGCTCATGCCCCCTCAGGCCTTCTCCCATAACACTTCGTGCCAGCCAAGTGCCGATGTATTGGAGCTGGGCTGAGGAAGGAAGCGACTGGGGAGGCAGACTCTTGGAGGTAAGTTGTGCATCCAAAGCAAGGAAAAAGGGAATGAATAAGTAGCTGATATGGGTGGTGTTATAAATACTTAATGAGGCGCTCCACTCATACTAACCATCCCAGGGCACTCAACCACTGCCACAATGTCCTTTCTTCTATCAGATCAAAATGAGCAGATAACAGCAAAGGTTGCTAGGTTCATAACAGGGGCAATCAGAATAAGGGCCACTAACTGATGGCTGATTCAGGACTTTAAATTGTGCTCTTATATCAAATTTCCTTTTCTGCATACAGTGGTACCTCGGGTTACATACGCTTCAGGTTACATATGCTTCAGGTTACAGACTCCGCTAACCCAGAAATAGTACCTCGGGTTAAGAACTTTGCTTCAGGATGAGAACAGAAATCGTGCTCCAGCGGCGCAGCGGCAGTGGGAGGCCCCATTAGCTAAAGTGGTGCTTCAGGTTAAGAACAGTTTCAGGTTAAGAACAGACCCCCGGAACGAATTAAGTACTTAACCCTGTATACTGTAATGTTTTACTGTTGCTATGGCCATTGGCTAATGCGAATAAAGTTTTATCTTATATAACAAGGAGACGCTCCACAGGCTTAAATGTTTATTTGGGTAAACCTGAGGAGATCCTGGTTATGTGGCAGTAATGCCCGAAAACGAAACTTCCCCCCTCAGCCTCACCAGGAGAGGAGTCCAAGAGCTTTCTGACAAGCTTATGTCAGCATGAATTCATACTCGCACATCAGTTTCCATCTGGCAGCTGTCACTTAAAGTACTTCAGATCACCTGCCAAGAAACTGCAAAGGGTGTTTCTTCCCCATATGGACCTTTGTGCTTTAATCTTTACTTTCATAATTTGCCAGGCTCCTGGCTGGAACTCCCTTTTTATGGTGCTCATTTGGCTCCATAAATATGGCGAGCAATACCAATCAGCCAATCGCAAATGAGGTATGGTAGGAGCTGGAAAGGGTGCAGAAAATCACATATGCATTAACTCTTAGACTGTGCCACTTCAGCAGTCACTCTGCATGCCTTAAGGCTGGTCTGCTGCCCTCATGTGCTGTGGAGGACTCTGCCCCATTGCCATTGGTGAGGTAATGTTCAGCTGCCAATCTGGTTAGTTTCCAGGTTGCGGAGAAGTTGCCGTCTATTCCTTTCCTTCAGGCAGCAAAATATAGTATGATCAGCCTTGGCTGCTGGTTTCTGGGGGATAGATCTAATTTCTAAATGCTCACTGTCCCTAGGCAGTCTGTCTCTGAATACCAGCAACTTTAGGCTTACATTCTCTATAGATTTTCCAGAGGTTATCTTGCTGGCCACTTGTGGAGACTACAGTAGATGGATCCTATACCTGAACCAAAAGGCACTTATGTTCCTTGAACTCCTTGGCATCATGAAGCAACAGGTTTGCCTTGGATGTTGTCGTTTGCTTCTCAAGGTATCCTTCACAAAGGGTGTTTCTGGTTTATCGGTTGGTGGAGTCTATCCAAGTTGGGCTTTGCAGGTAAGATTTTCACTTGGATATGTTTTCGCTTGGTGGTGCAGTCATGAGCTTTTTTTCCGCACACACCTCTTTTTTGGCAAAGCATAAGTGGCCACACTCTAGCACCTTCTACTTGCCCATCCCGTGGTTCTGAAAGCCACCCAAAGTCTCAGAAAGCCACTCCATGTCCTTGCACTTAGAGATGGCAACCCATAAGCCACAAATTTCTGTGTTTTTGGCTCGTGAAGGGGGCCATGTCAGAATGTCCTCCCCTGATTCTTTTGCCACACGTAAAAACAGCTTACAGGAAGCGTAGGAGCTGAGTCCGGGTGCAACAACTCTGGTCCGAGTAAGCAATGAGTGAACTCTTCTTTATCACAGGTATCTCTTGTGGTGTGGCTGTTCTGATATACCAAGTTCTGCTACCCCACATCAACCAACATAGAATAGTTTAAATGAGATCAGAATTACTATTTCAGGTTTTAGAATCCAAGAGATAGATGAATTTCAGCAGAGCAGGGCAAATTTCAAGAGCCCTGATCTCAGATACATTGGTACCTCAGGTTACATACCCTTCAGGTTATATACGCTTCAGGTTATACACTCCGCTAACCTAGATATAGTGCTTCAGGTTAAGAACTTTGCTTCAGGATAAGAATAGAAATCGGGCTCTGGCGGTGCGGCGGCAGCAGGAGGCCCCATTAGCTAAAGTGGTGCTTTAGGTTAAGAACAGTTTCAGGTTAAGTACGGACCTCCGGAACAAATTAAGTACTTAACCTGAGGTACCACTGTATATTCAATATTAAATTGCCTCAAAGCAGTGCGTGTGCATTTGTAGTGGTTAGGTTTTTTTAAAAAAACAACACCACCTTATGTGGAATCACGTGTGATCCAAACCATCAGGATGGTAGTGCTTGTTCTCTCATTTCCCTTAATGATGCCCATGCCAAAGCAAAAGCCATTGACACTTTCCTGGCAAACCGCAGAGAATGACTTCCTTAATGGTCCAACTGAGTGTATGTGGAGGAGTGAAGAATATGGGTGGTATGTGTTTGCATGACAGGAGAAGCTGAAGTCTTTCATTTACCCGAAGAACAGAGTCAACATGGGAATCAGAAGTTCCAGATTCTCCTAACCAGATAAGCCACCAAAATGGCTCAATCAAAGCTTCTGACAAAAAAAAGAGAGTTGACAATCAAAGCAGTCTTAACTACTCAGTTTCTGCAGACCTGTCTTAGTTCCTTGTCATGCAATGCAACACCTATAAATAACAATACAACTGGAGGAAATTGGAGCATGCCTTATGTAATGTAATATAACTGAGGGGAGGTTTCATCCAGTTATTCAGATTCCGGACCAAACGACACTTTATACAGAAATGTGTACAGCGAAACTCTCAACAGCTGCTTGGCAAAGGGAGTGATTTGAATCGGGGAAGTAGCCTGTTGGTGGGTGTGGGTCGCTGAGGTTAATATTAACTTAGTCAGCTGCTTTTATTCTGAAATCCAACCCCCCCCCCAAGCTGTTCTCCTCCAATGGGGTTCTAAAAACATATCTGAAAAAGTGTGGAATCCCACCAATGGTGGGGGATAGAAGAGGCTGCAGAGAAGTTGTGGTGGGCAAGGAAAGGGTTAAGGGCCCTACACTGCTTTTGCACTCCACAAGCTGCTTTTCCTATTAAAAAAATAGACATGCATTTGGGTGCAATGTTTTGTTTGGCCCAGAGTTTACAGTGCAGGTATTCACAGTGCAGAGGGGAGCTGGGTCATGCTGGGATGGTAGTGGGCTGCCAACTGTGCAGGTTATATCCATGGAGGGACCAATCATGGACATGTGCTAATGCAATGAAGGCATAAAGAAACAACCTAACCTTGACTCTCGGATGTTCCAAGCCAAGATTCTTTCTCATGGGAGCAATGCTGCTTTCTGCAATTTGCTCATTCTTATGTTCCTATCCTGCCTTTCTATTTCAAATTGCAGTGCCCAAGGCCACAAATATCAAAATTTAACTCAAAATTTAACCCACACAAAGGGAGCAGCAAAGAAAATTGGGGAAGCAGAAGCTATAAATTCAAAGAAGACTCACCTGGCTGAAAGACTTGTCAGAACAGAGGCGTCTTTAGCTGTCATCAAAACATAAACAGGGACATGATAGATCATCTGCAGCAGGGAGTTTCACATCCTGGGTACCACAACAGAGGACACCTTTCTGAACATTTAACTGTGCAAAATGGGCTCCTCTGAAAGTGGCAGTGGGACACTGAGAAGGATTTCGGAGACTGAGATTCTAAATGAGCAGGCAATAATATGGAGAGGACTTGGCCCTTTCAATTGCAGGATAAGCAACCTCATAACTAACCTGCTTAAGTCTAATTAGTGCACGAAGGACTTAAGACAATTGAATAAGCTGTCCTGCCAGGCTTAGCTCACCTTGGGAGGGACTAGGTAATCAAGTCACTGTTCCCCTCCAGTCTCCCTTAGAAGCTCAGTGGGTGAAGAGGCTAAACAGGTTGCTCTAGCTTAGCCGCATGGCTTTCACAAGCCATTCAGGTGTTCCTATATCAATAATTTAGGAACTTTCACCACTGTAACTAGGCCACGTTTTACTGCCTGTGCAACTTTTTATGAATGCTGTATGAAAAAGCACATGAATCTGACCTTTGGGGAGTTCGTAAGTAAACCATTTTAAACTTACCAAATGTGTGATTTATTTTTTTTATGCTAAGGGAAGAGGGAAGTTTTGGAACTCACAATGGCATATTTTAAAGGACTAACTACCTATATTTCCATGCTTTACTTTATTGCTTATGTTGTGATTCTCTCACCAAAGATTACTTGCCCCAATCTAAGATCTTGGCATCCAGGAAGTCTCCTTTTTATACCTATTTTTTCCCTTGCCACCAACAGAGTTATTGTGGGTCCAAGCAGTTTGGGTCTTTGAAGGTAAGCAGCCTTTTGAACTGAGCCTGGAAATGGCGGAGCTACTATAAGAGGGAAGTTGCATAAATTAAATAAAAAGAACCCTGGTTGCTTGTGAAGCTGTTTGTGCCTGTTGTATCATGCAGCATTCACATAATGGAAGTGTGTGGGAGACCTGTGAGCGCTTCAGTTTTAATTGTAGGAAGCATGCATTGGAGAGAATACATGCAAGGCCTCTAGGGGATAAATTTGACAAGAAGAAATAAAAAGCAGAGGAGAAGTGTTGTAAACAAAAATTGCCATTTTCCCTTATGGGGTATCCAAGAGCCCATATAGAGTCCTTACATAGGTTCCCTATTGGTAGGAGAAAATAACAAAGGCCAACCAGAGAATATTGAGGAGCAAAGCAGCTAGTAAGCTTGAACTTTATTGATCTGTTGCAACAGGGTGCTCCCCTCACCTGCAGGAGAGAGGAGGAACCCAGAAAAATGGCGCACAAGGCCTTATAAAGACTTTTGAAATTGCCATCCTGTAGATCAAGACCACCCCCAGAAACATCATACATACATCACAGAAAGGGTGTAAGCTAAGACCACCCCCCAGATACATCATACCTACATCACAGAAAAGGCGGTCTAAACAGAAATTTGAATGTTGTTTTTCTCCAATCCTTGTTTATCTCCTGTCTGGCAGGTTACTTGATTGGATTGCCTGGGAAGCCTGGCCATTCTTTTGTAGTGATAAATACTTAGTTCCTGGGCCATGTCACAGGCTCACACCCTATTCATATCTTAAATGTGCCCTTAAGACAGGATTTGTGAGGAAAGAGACAATTGGAGGTTTCCCACTTTGACCTTGCAGAGAAAACATTGGCTCAGTTTAGGAATCAAAATGGTTCCAGGTTGGTCTTCCTGTGCTGATCTATGTACGTGCTTGGTTGGTACACTTATGAACATTACCATATATGTAAGACCATAAAATTCCTATCACAGAAGATCAAAACTGGTGGGGATTTCGGTACCCTCCAACATTCTGCCGATCAAAATTGGACTCACACCTTTCACTACCACGCTCCTGTGTGAGCCAGCTGGGGCTGCCCTACCCCAGCCCGACTGGCAGCAGCTCCCTCAGCAAGCACCACACCGGCACCTCCAGCTTCTCCTCTTCCTCATCCTCATCCTCCTCATCTTCACTGGCTTTTTTCTCCTCCTTCAGCAGGGGTGGCGTCAGGAGGAGGCAGTGCAGCCTCTGGGACTGGCCTGCACCAGCAGCAGCTCCACCTCCATGGGTTCCAGCTCGGGCGCCTTCTTGAGTGCGAAAGACACATCTTTTAGTGCCGAACTCACATAGGAGCCAGCTGACTCATGCAAGAGCTCAGCACCGAAAATGGGACATCCAAGCCAAAGCCAGGGTAGCTTCTGTCATTCCAGGGTGTCCCAGTCAAATCGGGACTGTTGACGGGAATGGATTTCAAAATGGTGCAGGAGGCAGAAATGGAACTGTTGACGTCCCCTGTTATATTATGGGCATTATCGCTAATTATACTAGCACAACTGCCATCTCCAGAGCAAAACAACCATGAGTGCTGCACTTGCTGAATGAAGAGTAGCAATTGACCAGCAACTTGCCTTAGTGGTTTCAAGTATGGGCAAACACCAATTCCCCCGCAAGCAGAGTGCTTGCTGAGGTCGTTTTGTCTGGATAATTTACTGACAGCTTTGCAGTTCTGATGGGGGGAGGAAAACCCCCATGTATTTACAAAACTGAGGCCAGGCAGAGGTGTTACATTTTATATATATGAGAAGAGGCATATGTATTTTCAGAAAGAAATTTTAAGAGAGTGATTAGCAATTACAGATTTTTGTGGGAAGTGAAAGAGGGGGCATGCACAGGTACAAAACCTGAGTCCTTAGATGGCTTATGCCACCCTTTGTATAACCGTAAGAATCACACATGCTTCATTAAGCTAGGTAGACTAACAGAAGAGGTGCATTAAAAGTGAAAAAGCTTCTTGCGTGTCAAAGCAAGAGCCATCTGTTTGAGCTCTGTGGGCGGGGTGGAGGGGGAAATAGTAAATTGTTTAAGGGAAGCTGTTTGAACAGTAACCATGTCAAGAATAAATTGAGCAAAGTTCCTTGCCATTTATAAACTGGGCTTCTAAAGACTGTAAAAAACCCCAACTATTGCTCGGGAGGGAATGGTATTGTTTGTTTGCTACTATCTTATGTATTTTTGTGCTTTTATCATGTAAACTGCCCTGGGATCCTTGGATGAAAGGCAGTATAGAAATGAAAGAACGAAAGACAGAGAAAGAAAGAAAACTAAACTGGTTTTCCAAGCTATTTTGGGAAGTTGTTTGCATCCGCTGATGGCAGAGCCTCAAAATGCTCTTGAAATTTATGCAAATTGTGTGTGGTTTGCGTAAAACAAATATGCTGTGATAATAAATCTCATGCTTTCTGATGTTCCTCTTACTTCTAACTCAAGAAAGGTGAAGCCATCAGCAATTCCAAGGATAGTTCCCCTGTCCAAAAACATGTCTATTAATGGACAATCCAAATGTTGCACCAAGAACATTAGGATTCTCTTATCCGTATAAATTATGCAAGTTCAGAATTTGCATTGTTTATCTTATTTTTCAGAACTTTTTCTAAAATTTTGACTGTTGTGCATAACTTATTCTGGTTTTTCTAGTTGCAGAACAGACAAGGAGCTGTTCATGGCACTGAAGCCCTACCCCAGCTCCTGGGAATCTTGTTCAGCCACCTCTGTTTACACACTTCCAAGCATATCTTATCTTCACAGCCATCAGGTCTAGGGTTTTGTTTCAGTTTTAAATGCAAGTTGAGATTTATCAGCCTGCGGTGTGGTGCAGAAGTCGAGTGTCAAATCAGAAACCAAGCAGATCCAGCTTTCAAATTCCATAAAGCCATAAACCTCACTGGGTGACCTTCAACAAATCACTATCTCTCAGCCTGACCTACCTTGCAGGGTTACTGTGAATATAAGGTTGTGGGGAACCATGCACACTTTCCTAAACTCCTTGGAGGAGAGGCAGAATAGAAAAGAAGAAAAAACAAAAACACTTCTTCTGCACTCCTGTAGGATTGCAGAGTGCATAGCAGCCCTGCATAATATACCCTCTATTCCCATAGGCTAAAGGCATCTGCTTTGAGTTTCAAGGATGGGGAAGAAAAGTCGTCTGGTGTTCACATCCTGTGCTTCATTTACAAAAATTAGGGTGAGCGACCAAGCTTGGAAGTTGCCCCTTCAGCAAATCTCAGGTATGATGCCTAACTGTGGTTGATTTGTAGTAGTGAAAGGGCTCTGACTGTGATTTATGATATGCCATTCTGCTGTATTATGATTTATTGACTGATTTTAGCATCTTTATGACTATCTGCCATTTAGGGTTGGTGGGTTTGTGGGTTGTTGTTTTTTGCTGTGTACACTGAATTCATGGTGAAACAGTTGCTATATTTTAGAAATAAAACAGACACACATCAGTTCAGCATGTGGGCAAACGCATTCTCATCCGTGTCGTTGCTCCGTGTCACCAAAGTGACCTGGCTCGTTCCTAGTGGCCCTTGCACTTTTGGCACTGCAGATTGGTGGAATTGCAGGCTTATTTACAGGCAGCAGAAAGATGCAATGATCCTGAGCAAGAGGATACCTTTCCTTCCGGGGTGCGTCATCCTGGTGTGTGCTAAAGGCACTCAGTCAGGAACTTGGGAAGCTTTTAGGTGGACCATAGTTAGAAGTATATTCTTACTAAACTGGATCAGTTCATACCATCCTAGACATTCAATGTATGAAAAGAGCACTAGACCTCTAGCTCCACTGTGGCCTCCTAAAAACAAAAGCATGTCAACATACTTATTCACTAGCAATGTGTCAATTATGGCATGGGTTTCAACGGGTAGGAGAGGATATATTAATTGCAACTTATCCCTCCAGGCTCCCACGTGTGTGGGTTGAACAGAGTTTCAAAATTCCATCCTTGTTGGCAGCAGAATTAAAAGGAATTAGGCTACAAAGCCTTGCTTTGAGCAAGTCCAGCTAATGAAGTAAGCTGGTTTCTCCCCTTCTTACCCCGCTTAACAAAGAATCAGGCAACAGCTTGTAAAGTAAGTTTAAAAATAAGATTTACTTACTTTATAATTATGCATTGGCTCACAACAATGGCAGCAGTAAAAACTACGCAGGCAAAATACTTATATTTACAGTATAACCAGCTTCAGGCATGGGCCTAAAACTAGAGCAGTCAGAGGCATGTCTGTAACCAATGCTGGTCAAAGGAAGAGAGAAGGGAACAGGAAGTACTATATGCTCCTTCCATTCTAGGAGAGGAGGGGAAATGACATCACACAGAGCCCTCTCTACCAGTTGTATTTCTGTGGTTTGACCAGCTGCCTATCAGCAATACAGCTCTGTGGACTTAGCCCCTTCTCATGCTAACTAGCAAGACACAACACAGCACACACGGATACAACCCAGCCCTCTCCCACTTTTGTGGACTGCTCAACGTAAGAGTTAAAAATAGAAACTAGAACATCAAGCTGGGCAAATCTTAATCACCATGGCCAAGAGGATCTGGTCCATCATATTATATTCTTCAGGGCTTTTGTGAATCAGGCTAATTCAGGGGTGAGGAAACTATGGCTTAAATCTTTAAGCCTTGCTTCATGCCCCCATTAAACTGTGCCCCCAAACCACAATCTGTTCCAAGAGGGAATGTCACTGAAATACACTCGGAGTCCTGTAGGGATTTCATGCTCTTTATTGCAGCTTGTAAAAAAGTGAATCAATTGCCCCCCAAACCTCAGGCTTTTATATACATTATTTGCACAATGAGTCCTGGCTGATTGGCTGATTCTGCTTCCCTCCTGGAGCCTGATTGGTCTTTTCCTGCAGGCCAATCAGTTGTTGCATTCTAGGATCCTACTTGCCTATTGTTCTAGGATCTAAGCTTAGTACAGTGGTACCTTGGGATGTGAACGGGATCTGTTCCGGAGCCCATTCGCATCCCGAAGCGAACATAACCCATGTCCACGCATCTCCGCATGCGCGGGTCACATTTTGGCGCTTCTGCGCATGCACGTGACATCATTTTGACAGTCTGCACATGTGCGCACGGCGAAACCCAGAAGTAACGCACTCCGTTACTTCCGGGTCGCCACAGAGCCCAACCCGAAAATGCTTAACCCGAAGCGTATTCATCCCGAGGTATGACTGTACATAACAGTCACGTTGGCAGAGGAGCCGATAATGGTAACCAGTTTAATAACAGTGATGCCTGAACAAGGCAGATACTAGTGTTTCTTTTTCCTATTTTCATTGTGAGCCAAATTCATTCAGACTTCGCGCCTGTTCTGTTTCCAGAAGCATTTGAGCAAGCAATTGCTGCATTCCTAGATACCTATAAAAAGCATGAAGCATATTTTAGATTTGTAGATCAAACACTGGCATGAGAGTTTCAGAAGTGTCTTGTACTGTACAGAGGTGAACAAGAGTTCATATTTATTCATTCACACACTCACACACACACACACACACACACACACACACGTATGCTGCTGTGCAGATGGTTAATGGGGAGGCTCCATTTCTTAGAATCATAGAACCATAGTGTTGTAGAGTCGGAAGGAATCCTGAGGCTCATCTAGTCCAACTTCTTGCAATGCAGGAATATGCAGCTGTCCAAATGGGGATCAAACCTGCAACCAGTGCTTTTTTTCTGGGGGGACGCAGGGATCCGCATACCCCTGAACATTTTGTGACTCTAAGTTTGGCCTCATTGAGGGGCAGTATTTCAATATGAGTAGGAAAATGAGAGTACCCCTCAACATTTTTTAAGAAAGAAAAAAAAGCACCTTCTGCAACCTTGGTATTCTCAGACAATTTACCAGAGAAATGGGCAGTCAGTGTGGGAGGGCTAAAAAGAAATGGGATGTCCCAGATGGGCTGTTGATGACACTATCCATTCTGGCCAACAAGAACTTGCTCTCTTCTTTCCTTCATTGATCTTAGATTTCCACAGTCAATAAACTGCAGGACTGTCATTTTGCAGAAGGAAATTTTTCAACTAGTGTAGGTTTTTCCCGAGAACAGTGTGCAGTGGTGGGAGCAGCACCTTCTTCATGAGGCCTGGAAACCCTCTTTTGTTCTGTGAGAAATGACGCTTTGGGGGGCAGGGAGAGAAGCTGCCAGAAGAAAATCAGGACTGAGGAAATGTATGTGAGGTTTCCATGCTATTTGGGTGACCCCTTTCTTAGGTTATGTCCTGGCTTGCAAGCAATTAGAAATGAAGTACTGGTATTTGACTAACAGAAAAGTAGTATTAAACATACAAGATGCAAAGGTGCAACTTGGTTTTGAAGCAAGATGCGTCTCCGAAAGCTCACTCTTGAAGTCTTGACGTATTAGATACCTACAGCGTACAAGGGAGCTGTTATTTATTTTCTTTACTGGGGACAATGAGTTCTGTCTGTTTCTCTTCCTGTTTCATGGGTTATTCCTCCCCACCTACCTGCAAAAAAACCCCTCCTTACTGATGCAATTGCTGCCAGCCCAGTTTCTTCCACGCCATGAGTTCTCGACTATATCCCGTGTTGCAGTCACCATCCTGCATCCTTCCTGTTGTTGACTCTACAGCTTTGCCCCAACCGCACAGTTTCCCTCTTTTAGACACGTCACGGCAGCGCAAAAGCCTTGTGCTCCACTCCTATATAAACACGTCCATACAAAAGAAGAAAGAATGGATATTTTCTGCGGGGTGCCAGAGAGGAAATTACGGCCCACCCCGCCCTCCAATGTTGGGGCTTGCTCTATTCTTTTTAGTGTCTAGGTTGCAATATCATTTTTTTTCAAATTCAACCAATACAAAATATTTTCAACAGCACCGTTATTTTTATTTATTTTTACATCTCAGCCTCACAAAGCAACCCAGGGTGGTTATTTTATTTATTTTAATAATAAAAAAGTAAAGTTACACTATGCCATGCAATTATTTATTTATTCTTATATTTATAACCTGTCTTTTCCTCCAAGGAGCTCAAACTGGTGTACACAACTCTCACTCTCCCCATTTTACCATCACAACCACCCTGTGAGGTAGGATAGCAGGGGCTGGCCCAAAGTCACTCAGTACATGAGCTTCAAGGCTCAGTGAGGATTCAAACCCTGATCTCCCGGGTCCTAACCCAACACTCTAACCAATACACCACACTGTCCAGTTACCACACTACTGGTTATTAGCATTTGTATCTTTCCTGCAGTGTCCTAGGCATGGAAGCAGCCCAATCCCTGCCCAGTAGCCCTGCAGTTCACAAGAAACAGAAGTCAGGAAAACATAGGAATTTATTACACTTTCCCCTCCATTCTCACATTACCCACAGTAACCCTGGCTCATGCAAAATCCTGAAATCAATAACTACAGCTTGATGGTAAATAAATAATCCGTAACCAAGTTGTTGCTGGACATTTCCAGCGGCTATGACCTCACTGGATTTCCAAGGAATAAGCATCGTCATGGCATAGCTTGAATAAAATGCCCCAGGGATATTTTGTTTGCTTGGCAATGCACAGGAGCTGCTGCCAGGAGCTTCACTGCCCAGGAAGGAAGCCTTGCTAGAGGGGGAAATGCTGCCTTTACTCTAAGGGCATATTGAGCAAGGGGGAGCTGTCAGGGCGAGAACGAGTTGGACCCCTCTTAGAACATAACTGGCTGTGCACAGGGTGAGAAGTAGAAAGCCAAGGGGTACTTAAGGGGTGTGCATAACGGGTCACTCCAGAATGTTGTTTTTTGGCAGGTGCATTTTGCACAATGTAGTTGATGCAATAATAGTGCATCAGCAGTTTTTATACTGGACTGTCCACACATCATTTCTCTTCATAATTTGTTCTGCGATGCTTCTATGATGTTACTGCATTGTTGCTGTCTGGAGGTGCAGTCTTGAACTATACCGCTATGTCCTCCTAGTGGCACAGCAGTAACTAGCATAGCTTGCAAAGCTAAGCAGGGTCCGGTATGGTTTCCAATTGGATGGGGAACCGCATGTTGAGATTCCTGCAATGCATGGGGTCGGATTAGATGATCCTCTGGGTCCCTTCCAACTCTACAACACTACCATTCTATGAAAAGCAGGCTAAAAGTTTAAAAACAAAACCCAAAACCAGAGCATGTGTGGTAACAAAAAGTTACAGAATTTCAGCGAGAAGTTACGGGATATGCACTGACTGGAACTGAAGCCGTGTTATTGCTCCAAAACAGTTTCAGTGCAAT